AAATAGAAAATAACTATTTATTAATGTATACAATACGTAAATAAAAATAATAACTCAGCTTGTCATTGATTTTTTTCAATTCATTTTAATTTCATTTCAAATTCTAACTGACCAACAAAACTGGAGACGGAGTCGACTTGTTCTTAGTGACTCCTGCTCCGACTCCTTTTACCCCAAAATCTGCCCAACTCCAATTCCGACTCCACAGCCCTGATGGTGATGTAAACTATCTATGCAGAGTAGTCACATATGAGTAAATTTTTTTACAATTGTATCACTGCTGTGTAGAAGAAACAAATAATGAATAATTTTCAATTAATGTTATTCTTTAAAGATATGAGAGTTTCAAATACATGAAAGATATATTATTTGGCTAAGTATATAAGGTATATTTTAATTTTATAAGTTATTTTAATTTAGTGAACCTTTCCTATCTTGCCTCATTTCAACTTACAGATCCCTACCAGAATGAGTTTTTAAAATCGCATTGAATGCAAATGAAGAAGAGATTGTACTAAAGGAAAGTTCACCTGACTTCAAGAGAGAGAGAGCTAGGAATCCAGAATAGTGTGTGTGTTTGCCTTTGGGCTACGTCTCTCTTACGTTGTTACGCTCAACCATATTATTTTGTGCCTTTTGTTAGTTTTTCAGCTAGTTCAGATTACAGGCCAACTAGGTTAGAATTGCATTAGCTTTGTCTAAATATTTAAGTTAGTCATAGTTAGTTCTTATTTGTTATTTTTGAGTTTGAGTTAAGGCTTTTCTGTAAGCCTGAAGAAAGGGGGGCAACTGTTATTCTTATTTTGAGTGAATAAAGGGTAAATAATCCTTCTTGAGTTTACAGTCCCTGTTCTAATCTCGGGCACAGCACTGGTGTTCGAAAATGTCACGCCCGAGTATTTCTCGGGGTAATTTTTTTTTTGAGTGCTGCATCGTATTGTCATACCAATCGGGAGATGTTTATTTCGGCTACATTTGGTTTTTCCAATAAAAAAAATTTGACAATTTGTGTACCCAAATCATCAAGATAACTTGACAGTTAAAGGGTTAACAGTTCTCTAGGTTCCTCGACTCTTCATTTAGCAGAATAAAAGGAAGGAACTCTATAAGTAATCTAAATACAGTAGACGTCCAGAAATATGCAATGCTTGGGACCAGAGGTTGTAGGCAGATTTCAGGATTTTGTGGATTTCAGGGCAGAAAAGATAAATCATAATATTCAGACTATAAATAAGGTATATTATTATTGATGGCATATTATCCGTTGATTCTGTCTGTAGAAAGCACTGAGCAAAAAGTACCTTTAATTTAAATAATATGCTACGTTTACAATAATCTATACTTCTCTTCTGATGTGTATTATACTTTTAGCCATAGTGAAAAAACACTGAAGTTTTGATAGCCATTATTTGCTGAAAAGTAAAAATATGCCGCATAACAACGGAAAGTAAATTTTGAATTGTAAACAAATAAATGGGAAATTGCTGGAGCTTCAGTTGTTTTCAGAAAGACTAAATCTGTATTGTTTGAGTAAATAGCATAATTATTGAATATATTTAAGACTAAATAATTATTCAGTCAATAAAGCATTGAAACAGAGTTGTAGCTTGGGTTTTCAGCGCCCAGGGACAACTGAAGATTTCGTGCCCCCTACTGCTTGCCAAGGATGGAAGACATTTAATTATAAAATGTCGTAACATCAGTTTGGCGCTCCTTGGATTCTGCGCCCCGGGGACAGATGCCCCCCTTGCCCCCCTCTAGCTACGCCCCTGCATTGAAATATAAGTGTAGAAATGAATAAACTTTTGTTGTGAATATTATTTGAATTTTACATTCCAGTTTTCCTGCTGCTAATCCACAAGTAGCATTAAGTTTATTGAGGATATAAAAAAAGCGATATGAATGTATCTGATAAATCGTTATTGCTTGATAAATCGTTATTGCTCGTTTTGGTATCTAAAAGTCAGAATTCATTAGTACCTTGCTTTTTAAATATAAGTAAACTTTCATGTCATGGATTAGGTGGGTACTTATTTAGTTTGTTAGCAGCAAATTTTTGTTTGTATATGCAGGGTATAGCAAAAAAGTTGATCACAACTTTGAGGGGTGATAGCATATGGCAAAAGTAACAGTTTTTGTAATACAATACTTGTTGGAATGTGAAATGTGAACCTGAAACATGTTAAATATAAAGAACATCTGCCAAAGGTATAATTTACAGGTACCCCTTAGCAAAAATTGGCGCGTTTTGACGGAAATGGATACCGAGTTTGTGCAATTCTTTGACTTGTTATTTTCCCAAAGCCAAAATAACAACACTAAGAATTGCAAACTGGGTATCCATGTACACAACAACCTATTTTCACTTAAAAAAACATCAAGTAATTGCACAGACTTGGCATTGCACACTCCCTTGACTTTATCCATGTACACATCAACATATTTTCACTTAAAAAAAATCAGAGAATTGCGCAAACTAGGCATTGTGCACTTCCTTGACATTGTCCATGTACACATCAAACTACATTAACTTAAAAAGTCAAAGGAGCAGCCAACAAAAGATATGTAATCTCACTAAACTGCATTTTAAATCAAACAATGAAATAACATAAAAAAGGAAATTCATCTTTGCAGTACACAAAAGAAATATCCACTTACCTTATGTATGAATTAACAATGATACATAAGTCTTCAGTCAAACAAAATTCCTTAACAGCATCCAAAAATTCCTAAAATTATCTGAACTAAAATCTGTATACTGGCATCTCCAATTAAATTCACAAAATAAGAGTCAAGTAATGCTCTTTCCCCCTTTCTTTCCAAATCGTACAGAAACTTCAAATTAATCTTACCACATTCAGCTATTTTACCATCTAAACCACAAAACAAGCAATATACTTCCTAAACAACACACATACCGCAGTCATGCAACTTATTACGTCATAATAGGGTTTCTGTAACATTCAACTACTCAGGCTACTATCACTGAAACAACAACTTTGCGATAATACAAGGGGGGCCCTTTTCTCTTCTCTAACCAAACATGGATTATGAAGAGTTGATTTAATAGTGAATATTTTCAAGCAATAATGTTTGATATTTACAAGAATTTTTCAGATGACTGACCACAAACTGCTATGCGTGCATTACAATGACATTAAAAAGGTTATTATGCACTTTGAAGATACTCTCTATGTCATGTACTTCTGCAGCAATGGCTTTAATTTTAGCTTTAAATTCTTCCGAGAGTCATTCTGCATCTGATAAACAAGGTGTTTTAATTGTGCTTGTACTATGATTCTAAACTAATAAGTGGACTGTATAGCAAAAGAACTAACTAATTTATTTACTGTAATTAACTATTCAGATCTAATACATGCTCTGGCATGTTGCTTGGCCATCTGGATTCGGCTAAGCAACATGCCAGAGCATGTATTAGATCTGAATAGTTAATTACAGTAAATAAATTAGTTAGTTCTTTTGCTATACAGTCCACTTATTAGTTTAGAATCATATTAGATCTGAATAGTTAATTACAGTAAATAAATTAGTTAGTTCTTTTGCTATACAGTCCACTTATTAGTTTAGAATCATAGTACATGGTCCGTCGAGCCGGAGAAGTGAACAAAATGCTGGCATTAGATAGAAACAAAACTTCGTTAAAAGCGAAACTAACTAGGTTAGAAAATGTAGTGAAGGAATATGATGATAGTTCGAATAAGAATGAAATTCAAATAAAGTATAGATCGCTACAAAGCATTCAAATGGATATTAGAAACTTGAGGATTAGATATTTCGAAAGCGTTGATGAAAAAAGATGTCACAGACATCGATGAAGAAATCGCCGAAATGGAAGAAAGAACGGAAGTTCTAGAGGTAAGAATTATGGAAATTCTATCATCTATAGCACATTCTGAAATGAAAATGATTATAGTAAATTTGATCCTAAAGTACAAATACGTTTGCCAGAATTACCAATTCCTAAGTTTTCTGGTAAAATATACCGAATGGAATAATTTTAAGCTTCAATTCGAAAACATCATAGCGAATAACACGCAATTAACAGAAGTTCAGAAACTCTACTATTTAAAGGCTGCATTAAACTGATGAAGCAAAAATCTTGAAAACTGTTGATGATACTTTTAGTTCTCTATTAAAGCTCTTCAAGATAGGTATGAAAATAAAAGAATATTAATTGAGACGCATATAAAGTCAATAATGGATTTACGTACTTTAACATTCGAATCGTCTAAAGGAATAAGATATGTAATAGATAATGTTAGTTTTACTAAAACGTTAGGGCTCTGAATGTTTTAAAATATGAGAAAAATAATTTATCGGATATTCTGTTATTAAACATCGTACTTCAGAAACTAGATTTCGAAACGCGCAAACAATTTGAACTAAGCATTAATGCTACGGAAGTTCCTACGTTTGATGAATTAATTTCGTTTTTAGAGAAAAGATGTCAGTTATTGGATAACATTAACCATAGTATTAATAAAATGAAATATCCGTTAGAAAAAAGTTCGAAATCAAAGGCTCTGATGGTTAAAACTGATAGTGTTTCGATTTGTGTTACATGCAAAAATAATAATCATCCACTGCATAAATGTGATTCATTTTTGAAATTAAATCCAAATCAAAGATATGAAATAGTTAAAACCCATAAATTGTGTCTAAACTGTCCTCAGTAACGAGCATTTAATCGCAAAATGCAATTCTAAGTTCAGATGTTCGGAATGCCATAAAAAACCATTCATTAATACATCGCCTGCTCAGAAATGGCGCCATTCAACATAAGTTAGACAAAACAAAAAACGGAAGCAAGAGTGACGAAATTAATAAACCAAGAACGCAGATGTCTCTAATAAAAATCAATTAAGTTGTCTTTTGACACGCAAGAAAAAACGTCTTATTGGCGACTGCAATAATATATATTTGCAATTCCGAAGGAAAAAGAATCCCAGTTCGCGCAATACTTGATAACGGCAGCATGAGTTGTTTCTTGTGTGTGAAGGAGTTGCTAATTTGTTAAATTTAAAGAAAGAAAGAATTTATGCATCTGTATCCGGAATTAATGAGAACGTTATAATATTAATTATCAACTAGATGTACAGATTTCGAATAAGGATTTAACATATGTAAGATCAGTTAATTGCTTAGTTATTTCTAAAATAACCAATGTAACTCCATCAAGGTGTTTAGATGTGAAGTCATTAAATATTCCCATTGATATTGAATTAGCGGATCCGCAATTTGGAACACCTAACAAAATAGATATGTTACTAGGGGCCGAATTGTTCTTTGAGATTTTAAAAGAAGGAAAATTTCAATTAGAAAATCAACCGTTGATATTTCAAGAAACAGTTTCTGGATATATCGCGTCTGGTGCATGCAAGAGTGACTCAGAAGTAAATTATTGTGGTTTAGTTCTAAATAGTGAAGAAAGAGTTGAAGAAATTTTGCAAGAGTTTTGGGAAGTTGAATCCATTAAAAATATCGAGGATGCTTTGAGTGAAGAAGAAAAATACTGTGAAGAACATTTCAAGCGTACTCACTATAGACAAAATGATGGAAGATACGTAGTTCAGTTACCCATAAGGGAAGGTGTAGAATTAGGAGAATCGAAAACGCTGGCTGAGAAAAGATTGCATCAAGTGTGGAATCGACTAGAAAGTGATTCGAATATGAAAACATTATATAAATTTTATTAAAGAATATAAGGATCAAAATCACATGGAAAAGAAGTTCAAGAAATTGAAACATCGACTTGCAATTATCTTAGTCCATCATGGAGTTAATCGGCCAGAGAAAGCCTCTACCAAGCTTCGCGTTGTGTTTAATGCATCCGCGGCTACTAGCAATGGAAAGTCACTGAACTCAATATTAATGAAAGGGAGAATACCTCAAGAAGATTTATTTTCTATTATTATTAGATTTCGAAAGTGCAACTATGCATTAGGAGCTGATGTTCAGAAGATGAACAGACAAATACTTCATTGAACCATCTCAACAAAACCTGCAGTTGATCTTGTGGAAAGGAATCAGTTATAAAAATGTAAAGTGTCCTGTGCAATGAAAGTGTACATCGTCTAAGGGACTGTAACATAACGGAACAGCCAACTGCACCATTCCTGCTCGCAACAAGGGTACTGAAGGCAGTTAGCAATGGATGAAGTGACAGAACTTTCCTCATGCCTCAAGAGCCACTATACTGAAGGACTGTTACGTAGACGACATTATCTACTGGAGCTAATACGCATGCAAGAAGCCAAGGAGTTGCAGGCACAGTTAACTGTCCTTCTAGAACGTGGTGGAATGCAAGTTACACAAATGGTGTTCGAACAATCCAGAACTATTGAAGAATAAAGAAAGTGCTAACTCAGGATTACTCCTTTCAAGTTACCGATAAGCACTCAGGATTGCAAAAGCCTTAGGAATGTCATGGAATAACGTCTACAGACTGTTTTTCTTACGACTTCTAAAGGTACCTGACTTTGAAGAAACAGGACACGAAAAGAGATGTCTTATCAACGATAGGTCGCCTGTTTGATCCGTTAGGTTTAATTTGGACCTGTTACGACAAAAGCTAAAATATTTCTACAAAACTTTGGCTTCTAAAATTAAATTGGAATACACCTCTTCCTAAAAATTACTCTGAAGAATGGAAGGCATTTCTGCATAGTCTCAAAATAGTCAACGATTATCGCATCCCTAGATTTGTTCTAGCCAATGGATTACAACAAATAGAAATTATAGGATTCTGTGATGCTAGTCAGAAAGCCTATGGTGCTGCAATTTATGTGAAATGTATGTCATCTTCAAATGAATGTTCATCAAGACTTCTGTGCAGCAAGTCTCGTGTGTCACCTCTGAAGTCAATTACCATTCCTCGTTTGGAACTTTGTGGTGCAGTTCTGTTGGTAAAATCATTCAGCTACCTATTGTCAAGGTGTATTACTTCACTGATTCGTCAATAGTATTAGCATGGATTAAGAAGGAACCTTATCAACTAAAGACATTTGTTGCTAATAGAGTATCTGTTATTCGAAGCATGACTGCGGTTCATGAGTGGTACCATGTTAACACTCACAATAATCCAGCTGATTTGATATTACGTGGAGCTGAACCTAAAGATCTTCTTCATAATGATTTATGGTGGTATGGACCAACTTTCTTGACTAAGGAGAGGTTTTTGACTAATCCTTGTAAATTAATTTCATCTGATATGGATGATGTGGAATACGTCAAAGAACTCAAACTTAAGGATAATGACTTAGTTAATCTAAATGTGAACTCTAATTCCCTTGTTTTAGATCATATTCTTAACATTAGTAATAACTATATTCGTATTATTCGTGTATTAAGTTTTTGTTTGTAGATTTATAGCCAATTGTAAGGGAAAACATTTAATAGGTTCTCTAACTGTTAAAGAATTGGATGACGCTGAGAAAATCATTATCAGGTATGTACAGTTACAGCATTTTAGCAAGAATATTCTGTCTTTAAAAATTAAGAATTGTGTTTCTTCCAAAAGTAAGTTAAAATTTTTATGTCCATTTCTAGATAATGATTCTCTTCTGAGAGTAGGAGGCAGACTTGCCAATAGTAATCTTAATTACAACCAAAAGTTTCCTTATGTAATGCCAAAAGATCATGTGTTTACTAGATTAATTTTTCAGTATTACCATGTTAAATATTTACATCTTGGTGCTCAAGCACTATTGCATCAGGTTCGTAGTAAATTTTGGGTTATTAATGGTCGAGATGTAGCTCGAAAGGTTGTACATGAATGTGTAACATGTTTTAAGATTAAACCAATTGTATGTGAACAACTTATGGGAAATTTACCTGGTGAGAGAGTTAATCCAGATTTTGTATTTAATACGTGTGGACTTGACTTTTCTGGTCCATTCCTCATCAAGTATAAAAATCAGAGAAAGGGTAATTATGCAAAGGTGTACGTTGCTATATTCATTTGTTTAGCTACTAAAGCAATTCATTTAGAGGTAGTAACTGATTTAACCACAGATTCATTACTTGCTACTATTAAAAGATTTATTGCTAGACGTGGAAAATGTAATACCATAATGTCAGATAACGGTACTAATATGGTTGGTGCAAAATCAGAACTGAAAAAATTGCATAGTTTAGTCCTTAAATCTAATTCTGATATAGCAGATTTCTTAACATCTGAAGGTATAAATTGGAAACTAATTCCACCTAGAGCACCAAATTTCGGTGGTTTATGGGAAGCAGGTATTAAGTCATTTAAATACCATCTTCAGCGTACAATCAGCAGTTATAAATTAACTTTAGAAGAATTTTGGACTGTTGTCACACAGATTGAAGGTATTCTCAATTCTCGTCCAATTTTACCCTTATCAACAGATGCAAATGACTTTGATGCCTTAACGCCAGGTCATTTTTTAATTGGACGTTCCATTACTTCATATCCTGAACCAGATTTGTCTCATCTTACAGATAATAGACTTTCTAAATGGCAAGTTATTACCAAGTTCATTCAAGTTATTTGGAAACGTTGGCAAACTGATTATTTAAATCATCTACAACAACGCACCAAATGGTTTATTAATAAAGAAAATTTAAAGGCAGGTATGTTAGTTGTGTTAAAGGAAGATAATCTTCCGGCATTTAAATGGTCTTTAGCAAGAATTCTAGAAGTTTTACCTGGTAAAGATAATAAGGCCAGAGTTGTTAAAGTGAAAACATCAAATGGTGTGTATATTCGATGTATTAGTAAAATTTGTTTATTACCTATCCAGGATAATAATGCTTAGTTTACATTATTATGTTCTTATTGAAAATTGTGCTTTACATTAAAATGGAACTGTTTAAAGAATAAGTTCGATTGTAGAATAGTGAATGTTTATGTTTTTAAAATGTTGCATTATTTATATTATATTCATGATGAAATTATCTAAAAAAAAAAAAAAAGCATGTATTAGATCTGAATAGTTAATTACAGTAAATAAATTAGTTAGTTCTTTTGCTATACAGTCCACATATTAGTTTAGAATCAAAGTACAGTGCTAAAGAAAGAAAACTAGACAGAAGAGCTCTGTATCTCTTAGAAGAATATAGGATTGGGGTTCTCAACCATGAGGAATTCCCCTGTTAGGAATTTCATAGTTTCAGTCAGAAATGTCAGGCTTTTATTCATTTGTTAAGTATTTAGTTGTAATTTCTGGCTATAAAAAACTTTTATTTAAATTTTGGTATTTATTAACATTTTCTACACTTTCTGTTGTTGAGTTTGTAAAACACATTGAAAAATCATCTAAATGTAGATAATATATATATTTATTTTTTGAGTTTTGGAAAGGAAGGGGAATGATCAAGCATGGTGAAAGGGATGCATGGGATCAAAGAGGTTGAGAATCCCTGACTGAGGGGTTGAAAGTTTATGTCCACCATACTATGTTGTTTCAGAAATTAAGTATTCAGGTAATTCTGAACTTTCTGTTATGGGCTGGTGCTTCATCATGTTGAAACAACATGTGTACGTAGACATTTGCTAGAACCAGTTGTGGTAAATTAGACAGGACTCGCCGAAGGAAATTACAGTGCTTGGTTTTGTTGAGATGTTCATTCACATTTCACCTTGTACTGTATTATGAAAACTTTTGCAATGTTCTATCATATGTTTTTCGTATTAAAAACTGTTTACTGATACTTGTAAAAAAATTAGCATAATTTTAAGTTCTTGCATCTGCCTTAAATATTTAAGGATATTTTGAGCATGAAGTTGCATTCTACCCAATAATTGATATTTGTATGTTAAAAGAATCTCATAGAAACATTTTTGCTACTCATTGTGTTTATTCACTTTCCCAATATAACTAGATTTTTTAATTATAATCTTTCGTAGCATGTTCTATCGGAATAGTATTTCCTAAGAGCCTTTTTAATGTAAAAATGTAGTTCTTAATTTTTTTAAGAATTTTTCTGATACTTAACTGATTAAGCTGAACTACTTTAATTGAAAACAAGCATTTAATGTGAAATGTCTTGTGTCATTAAGCTAGTTATTTGATTGCAAACAAACAATCAATATGTATATATTGTATTGATAATAATATTTTAATGTTTAGGAAGCTAAATCAACTAATGGAATTGGACGTAAGATAGCCAATAAAGTATGGGAAATTATACAAACCGGTCATCTAAAGGAAATTGAGGAAATAAGCTGTAATCAAAGAGCTAAAACTCTGAGATTATTTAGAGCAGCATGGGGTATTAATTCTTTAACTGCTGATGCTTTGTATAAAGAGGTAATGTAAGTTTATGTTTGCAAAATTCAAGATTATTTTTACTTTTTTGTCATAAAAAACTAAACATTTGCAGTTCTATTATTCTTCAAATGATTGCTATGTAATTTTTGAAAGTCATCGATTTTTTCCTACCTAAAACAAAGTTAATACAGGAATACTTTTTCAAATTATAAATTGAATTTTAGGACACCAGCTCCTGATTGTTGATCCAAAACTGTTATGCAATATTTAGAATTCCCAATAACAGTTTTCATTGCATTGAAGCTGACAAGAAATTTGAATGTCATTTACTGTTATGTCCTTATGTTGAAACAAATAACATGTATTTGGTAAAAATCTTGATTGTATGTGTCGAATTTTCCTCCTACATGCCATCATGATATATAACTTGATTTTGCTATTGACTAAATATGTTAAAACTTTTCTTGGAGTGCTTTAGTAATTAATTATGCATTAACAGCTAAATGCTTTTTCTACAGTTTTTCCTTTCAGATTAATCGTAATGCCAAACCTTTTTCTGAACAAAACCGTAAATCTTGTAAATATTATAGCAACAAGTGTTATCAGTATATTCAAATTTACATTCATTGCTATTTGTTTAACAAACATAAATGTTGGAATTTCAAATGATAGACTGATACTGTGTTGTATTATGGCAAAAAATATTAATTTTTATGAAAATTAGAGGTTGAATATAGAAGTATCATTCCTTTCATTACTCATTCTGTTTTTGGTGTTTAAAATGCTTTGGTTGATCTATTATACTGACATAACGAGTTAAATTACCCCTCTGAAAATAATGTTTAACAGTAGGTAATGATGAGAAAATGATTTTACAAAATGTATATATGAATATTATTGTTATTAATAATTATGATGTATGAGGGCATTTCGAAAAGTATAGACACACCATACACCAGAGGAAAAGAAAAGTTTTGGTGAGTAAAGTTGGCAACACAGGTGTTAACCTTGAACCGTTAGCTTTCTCCTCGCGGTCGTTTGGCATTTCAACGTTGATTCTGGTTGGAATAGGTCGTGTTTAAAATGGCTGCGCTGATTCAGAATCTCGCCAAATGCGAAGTGCGTGCAAAAGGTCAGCGACCAGCGGATATTCACAAAGAAATTGTTTCTGTTTATGGGAACATTATGAGTCCATAAAATGTTACGAAATGGTGTCGTCATTTCTCTGAAGGTAGGACCGATGTTCGTGACGAACAAAGAACAGGTCGGCCATCTGTGATCTCTGATGTCCTTCTTCAGAGAACAGAGGAAGCAATTCGTGCGAGTAGACGTCTCAAATTGAAAAAATTGCATCAGATCATACCGGAAGTGTCAATGAAAAATCATTATGAAGTTGTGACTGTCAAGTTAGGGTACAGGAAATTGTGTGCGCGCTGGGTTCTAACACGCGGCAACCTTCTATGACTGTGGGATACAAAAGCTTGTGCACCGACTTAACAAATGTTTGGATAACGAGGGTGACTATGTCGAAAAATAATAAATAATCCAGTTAATAAGATGTAACTGACGTTTTCTAAATAATTTTTTTTTTTTTTTTTTTTTTTTTTTTTTTAAGGAATGCGAGCCATTGTATCTTTACTTTTCGAAATGCCCTCATATGTTAGTTAAAGATTTGTAAATTTTGTTATTAATTTTTGTATATATTATAAAATACAAGTTTTTCCCCCTGGCATTTTGTTCTTCAGTGAGAATACTTCCTTCTTTATGCTTTTTAGACCATTAGCCAGAAATAAATTAATTTCTTTTTTTTGATTAAAAAAATTAATAAGAAACTAGTCTCTGATGACAACTGTAACTAGCAGTAAGATTATCTTGCCAACTTTAATGCCATCACTTCTCAAATAGAGTACAACATGTCACCAATAGCTCCCTTTTCTCACACTAAATATGACAACCTTATTATATTCCATCACTGAGTACATTTACAGTTCCAGCCATTTCATTTCAAATTTTGCAGCTATGTAAGTTAGTTTTAATTTCCTTTCTGTCATTGAACCTAAAATTGTTTATAAATCACTACTTTTGATTTAACGTATTAATATGAAAGAATATATAAATTTGTATTTATGAGCTTTACTTTTAATTTTGCATTTCGATCAAAAAGAATGTATCAGTTAGTATTCAATGACTACATTTTAATCTAAAATAATGTATTAATTTGAAAATTTTTCTATTGACTTCTAATCTTCTTTTGTATATATTAATTTATACAGGTTTTAATAGTTTCTTATTGTTCTTACAATACTGTGAGAGTGTCGGGGAATGTTTTTTCTAAAGTGAGGATTTTGTTTTACTAGTTTAATTCTGTTCTTAACAAGTACCTTAAATTAAGAATTTCTTACTAATTTTTATTTTAGTTTTTGTTTATAAGTCTTTTGGCTCAAGTAGACTAATATCTCTCTAATATTTAAGTTTTGTATGTAGCATTTAATTAAACTCTAACAAAATTGCTAGTAGGAAAAAAGACGGAACACTCTCACTTAATTTGGTTATTGTTAATTGATAGTGGATTGGTTTATTCCCCTTGACAAGTCAATCTACAGTCAGTGACAGTAGCTACCTTTTTAATTTTACATTTTAGGATTTTTACAATTAAAATATTATTTCTTCACAGTTTTTTAAAAAAATTTTACTGCGATAGAAATCTAATAACTTAAAATACTGGCTAAAATTTATTCCAATAATTCATTGTTTTAATAGAATTTCTGTTCCTTGGAGATGATATATGAAAAATCTTTTCTAATAAAAAAACTCTATATAGAGTGCATGCCTGATTTATAAAGCATTATTTTATTCATTTATAAAAAGCATGGGAACTTAACTTTAAATGAATATGTACTACTGTATTTTTCATTCATATTTTTTTATATTTTAAAATTGGGACTGTTTTGCACAGTTGTATTTTCCTTTAGAATTGTATTATACTTAGTTTCATAATATCTGCTGCTATTGCTAAAGGTTCTCAACTGGAAGGGGCGAATTTCCTTGAAAGGAAAAATTTTATGATTTTGAAGGGGGGGATTTGTTTGAGCTTGTTTTCAAACTGAAACTTTACTCTCATAGCTGAGGCCAAATATGATGTTGTTGAAATTACATGATCGGAAAGTGCCTGAAGCTCAAATGTTGGCATTACGTTTGTGCTGAAACAAACAAAAACATAATTGAATGTGTATATTAAGAACTGTTGGCTATGGTATATATTTAGTGATTATTACTTGTTACTTACTCCTTTGAAATGAATAGATTATTAAAGTTGTGAAAAATTTTTGTATTTCCTATTTATAATTGAGTTATTGCTCATAAATTTTATCTTTAATGCATACTGCTTTTGTAAAGCAATTGTGAAGTGTATAACAGATACGAATTAAGTTACAGACCATTTTAGGACATTCGTTTTGCAGTCTTATCAGTTGCATCATTATCAGCTTTTACTTAGATAATTACTACAAAGCACACTGTATGTGAAAGCGTTCTAACAATATGCTGACAGACTGACAGATTATCATCATTAACTGTTATCATCATTAAACATTTTGGCTGGGCACCAAAAATAGTTTGCTTAATATGAAAATATGAAATTGAGTGCATTAAGCAGTCTGAATTTGAAAATTCCAGGCATTACTTTTAATTAGGGCTGTTATTAAAATTTCATTTATTTTTTGTGAAACATTATCAGTTTACCTTTTGTACCTGTAGTAGATTTAAAAGTATTGGCCGTTTGTGCAAAAAGTTAAATATATGTTGGGAACAGTAATAGTTAAAGTTAGTGCTATTAGGCAATGGCTCATGATAAAGCATTTAAAATATCAATTAGATTATTACTGCATAAATTCAGGAGTTAAATATTTAAAAATGATCTAGGAAATTTATAAAATATTTAAAGTAAAAAATATAATTTCTGTTTAGTTTTTAGTTTCTTATTTAATTTTGTACCCATTCAGAAGTTGACTGAAGTAATGATAATTGTTTATTAACTTAAAAAAATGTGTTCACGAGATAAATATTTCAAAATGATCTAGAAAATTTATAAAATATATAAGGTGCCAAAATATAACATTTGTTCAACTTTTATTTTCTTTTTATTTTGTAATCCGTCAGATATTGACTGAATTAACAGTAACTATATATTAACTAAAAATTTTATGTTTGAATAAAAAGGATTTGTCTTTGTCTCACAAATGTGTTTTGCTTCTATCCTGTTTTAAGAGGTATTTGACTCTACATGGAACCTAATACTAATAAAATAATAAATAAAAAAGCGACATCTAACATAGATATATTGGTTTTGGGATTAATTACTCAAAAGCAATAACAGGTCTTGAAGAATAAAGATATTTCTAATTTATATATGCTGTGAAGTGATGGGACATGAACGGCCAGCTTTTTCTACTTGGACTTATTACCATGAGCAATAAATGGAATTCCTAATTGGATCATTAAATATTTCCAACATTTAATGGTTTTAATCATTTGACTTTTGATAGACATGCATCAAAGTTTCATTATTTTTTAACTTTTTTTCAAAAAAATTCTCGGGTGTTTTTGATTTGCTAAAAATAAAACAAGAGAAGAATAATTATTCTTGTTTTTTAATAGGGGTATTTGACCATACAAGACCTACGAACAAAATCTGATTTATCAAGAGCTCACCAGATTGGACTAAGATATTTTGATGACTTGAAATTAAAAATGCCACGTAAAGAAGCTGAGAAGATATTAAATTTAGTAAGAATTTTATAAACATTTATCTTTAATCCTTGTGATGATGATTATCAAAGCAGGAGCTTCTGTTAATTATTAATTTTAATATCCACAGGTCATGAGTGTAATATTTGGCCTATATTCTTTTGTTCAATGTGATGCTTGCTCTTCACTCAGACGAAATCGACAGTTTTGTGGCCACATAGAAATTTTAGTCTCTCTTCCTGAAGGCCGTGTGAATGATCATAAAATTTTGCCAGAAATTGTTGCCAAACTTCATCAAGATGGTTAGTGAAATCTTTTTGTGCAATGTGTTTTATATAGCTGTTTGTCTGTTTTCTTGTAATCATACTGTTATTGATAATAGTGAACTAACTGACTTGAAAGGGGCTACCAGTTAGTTTTTAAAATTTCTGTGTAAAAAATAATTGTTCTACATATTATTTTCTACCTTCAACTGGAAACACTTGACAAAGCATCATATGTAATAGCATTCAGCATTATCTGCAGTTTTCTCTGAAATTCATTTGTAGTGATTTATCTTTTCTCTCATAGCTTTATTTTCATTTCAGGATGGAGAAATAGGTCAAAATCTGATAAAAATGTGGAGTACCATATTTTTTTTTATGCCAAAACCTTTTGTATGAAAAATTGTATGCAAATAGATACATTGTTATGATCCAGAATCTTATCCTTTAGTGCTGTTGTTGAATCATAGTTGTATTATATAGGGGCACCTTCTGTCCAAGCAGTTTCTCCAAAACCTTGTATGAGCATTTTGTGTGTTTATGTAGCACTTTGACTAAGTTTTTTACAAAATGTTATGTATGTGCTATTTTTTTTCCACCATTCGTTTTCACTATGAATTAAGTGGTAAGCTGTAATAACTAAGATGTTAAGAAAAACTAGTTGTTGTATGTTATCTTGCCCATGAATTTCATGGAAGAATGGTTGCCAGAGCCTGAAGGAGGTTGAACTTCTATTTCCACCCCAGTTTTGAGGAAGAGCACCTCGGAGGCTGGTACGAGGGTCTCCCACCCCTCTACTCTACCACCAATCCTCTACTCTACCACCATGAGAGGATTTTCAACTCGCCATATATTTAGAGTACTCCCATGCTGCAAAGACACTATACATTTACAGACATCCATTCCTTCTCCGGGATTCAAAACTGGGCCCTTTGATACCATAGTAGGCTTCCCCACTATACCGTCAGGGCAGCAAGAAAAACTAGTAGAGTGCAGGAATGCTTAGTGTGAAATACATATAAGAGTGTTTGCAAAAAGAGTATACACAGTGTTATTTGCAAGCATAAAAATAAATGACATATTTCTGATTATTTATGAAGGAGCTAGTTATTACTTAGCTTCTTCATAAATAATTTTTAAAGCATTTATTTTTATAGCTGAAGTGACTTTTGCCATATTAATAAACATTAGAAAGTGCATTAGCTTTATGACAGAGTACATAGGTGGAAATGATTTTTAGTCCATAAAAGTTCTTAATTTTGCTCATCTAACATTTCTATCCATTTTTTATGAGTTCCATTCTGATTGTGAATGAACATTATGAATATCCTTACAACCATGCTTTGAAATATTGTGACAAAAGTGTGACCTTCAAGAAGGTTCAAGTGCGATGTTTCATAAAGAACATGCCTCCAATCACTGTTATCAGTAAATCTTAAAATTCTTCACACGTATGGCCAAAAGACATGAAGAGGGCTCTTGAATAAAGGGAGAGATATTCTGGAACTGTTTGGTAGTATTATAAGATATTTCTCCCACCTTCTCGTAGCATGCCTTTGTGGTGTAAATGTCAGCACACTCGGTACGTATTCGAGAGGTCCATGGTTCGAGTCCCAGAGGGCATTGCTCATTTTTCATGTCTTCAGCTTCAAAGCAACCTAATGTCTCTACAGTGGTACCCAGACTATAAAAAACTTTGTGGATGATGATTCTCCACCACCAGGATTTGTGACTGGATCCCATAATGTCAAGTCGCCCTTTAAAAGGGGGAGTATATAAAGTATTTGTGCTGCCTTCTTTAGCATGCCTTCGTAGTGTAATGGTCAGCACGCTCGGTGCGTATTCAGGAGGTTCATTGTTCAAGTCCCGTGGAGGGCATTGCTCATTTTTCATCTCTCCTGCTCTCAGAAAATACCTTATGTCTCTACAGTATTAGAAGAATTCAAATTTCTGCAGGACTATTTGCTAATTTAAACTACTTCAGCTCAATTGCCACTAGGAACAGTAGCTCTAGAGTGTGGGTATTTGCAACAGTGGATTAGAACAATGGATATTTTCAAAAGTATTTGGGGTATTAGAACAGTGGATATTTGCAAAAGTTTGTGGTTTTTTTGTAAACTATTGTAAGTTTACAATGTTAACGTGTAAAATTAATATTTTAGAAATTTTCAGTGTTTATAAAGGCAAAAAAAAAGTGTGTGAATGTGTCAGTTTAGCAGTTCATCACCAAATATATATTTAATTCACGTAGTGTTAGCAGATATTCAAGTTACAATTCAAAAAAAAATTTTTTTATTGTATTGAAAAAAGAAAAAAAAAAAGTTTTTTGTAATATGAATTATTGTTGCTAAATTTGGCAACTTATCAACATTCTGGCAATTTTAAGATTAAATTGTCTGCATAATTTTTATTCGGATGCTTGCAAATTTTATGACCTTTTATAATAAATATAATAGTTTTTAACTATTAAAATGATAATAATATATTCAAATTATATTTTTAAAACAATAACAAGATAAAATATTTTCATTTTCTATCTTGTCATTTTTGTGGAATGATACCAGTAATTAATTAACAGAATAAAATGTGAAGACATTTTAAGAGAATTAATGTAATTAAAGCATAGTTTCTGAATTACTTCTTAGGAAAGCAAAATGTGCTACTGTAGATATTTTAAATGTTATTTTGTTTACCTACATTTACATTTTTTTTATGATAATAGTTCCTCTCTGTACAAGTCTTTCAAAATATTCGAATATGTGTTAGTTTTCTCTGTAAAATTCATGTTATACCTCTTTTCCTGATGTTTTTAACTAAAATTTCCTGATAAAGTGGGCAGACATGACAATGGATTGCCTACTGAGGCAGTTTTTTTCTTTATAGGTCACATACCTTTTAGAAATGTTTCTAGCCAGATTTGAAACCAAACCCCATGATTATTATAAACCCCATGACCCCTAAAAATCCAGAAAAGTGGCCTGTGACAAAGTGCAAAATGTGTCTGCAGTAATAAATTATGACACGAAATTAAGCGTGAAAATTTCTCAAATTTCTCTTAATGTGTGGAGATTTTTTCAAAAAGCTGTAAACCAGAATTATTTGAATTTTCTGCTTTTAATACCAGAAGCTTTCTGTTGACACATTTCCTATCTTTTATTTTCATTCTTTGCACAAGCAGAGAGAATTGCAAAAATGAATCTACTCTTGGCACATAGAAAAGCATCTGCAGAAAAGACGTTTGTTATTTTTTTAGATATGTTTAGATAGAGATTTAGATATGTTTTGTACAACATTTCAGTGAGATGAATCAGGTGTTTTATTTTGCATTTACATTTGAATTAATTTTTTTCAGTATGTCTTGATATTCTGTTTTATATTATTGTTAGTTATAATTACAGAAAGAAAATCAAAGCATTGATAAAAAGTATTTGTAGCAAATTTTTTTCAGTTAGGCTTAGCAATACTAAATATCCCATCATGTGAGATTGTACTACTGCCACAGTGCATTGTCTCTGAGGTGAGTTGGGGTAAGCAGCATGCCATTGCATAAGAGGAATAGGTACTGATGCATATATGTAACCTCTGTCATGAAGGGGTTAAAAAGAGGGGAAAATTGCAGGATGAACAAACTTTGTTACTTTTATATTGCTTTTGAAAGTCACGGGATAAGCAGTCAGATGGTTAAAACATTTCCATTCTACTGGATGATCCAAAAGTCTGTTAACATTTGAAATTTCAATAATTAACTGAATAATCAAAATCACAATAACAACCTTGTATTTAGCGTACATATATTAAATAACTCAATCGATTTCGAGGGCAGCTAAAGGTCCCTCCTCATCAGGAAAACGAAATTACTAGAAAGGGGATGAAAAGAAGAAAAATAAAGCATTGGCAAAGGAGTCTGAGAAACACATGGTCATAACCAGATTTTGCATCAGAGTTACACTGGCCACCTACCTTTACTGAGCTGGGCTGTCTGATCAAACATATAACACATAGACTAAAACGCAAATAAATAAATAAATAAATAAAATAAAATCAGCAAAGTCAAAAAATAGGGAGCAAGGGGAAACTGCACCTTCACGCACCAAGTTTGAACCTCGAATAAAGGGAAAGTAACCCCTGTAATGACTTTTTATACCCTCCGGTAATACCAAACATGAGGAGGCAATGCCATCTATCAGCAAAAACAATAACTAAGAATTATGTTAATAGAATTTTAAAGAAGCTAGGAAGGACTGGATTGGACTTAAAATCATTCACGAAACATGCTAAATCCTTGTGAATATGAAACGCTTCAAGAAAATCCAATTCACCAATGGAAGAAGCCTTTTGGATAATTTTTGCAGATCCAAAGTCAAAATTATGATTAAATTTCCAACTATGATACGCTATTGAAGACTTGTTAATTTCGCCTTTTCGGACATAAGATTCATGTTCCTTGATACAAAACTGTAATGCTCTTTTTGTTTGGCCAATGTATCTCAAGCTATACTGACACAATATACTATACATTCCCCAAGAATTAAAGTCAGAAATGCAATCTTTTAGAATCAAACCACGAATGTTATTGACAGGGGAGAAACTGATTTGAAAATTGAATTTCTGCAGAATCCGTGCAACTTCATAACTGGTAGAAGGATAAAATAGAAGCACGACAAGGTCATAAATATTATTTCTAACAGTGGAATGTCTTCTTTGATGGGAATCTGAAATTTTTTTAACGACTTTATCAATGATCACAGGAGAAAATCCTCGATCAATAGAAACTGCTCTCAAGTAATTAAGTTCATTGGCAAGCAAAGATTCTGAGGAACAAACTTTGAGCGTGCGAAATACATAATAGTAAAAAGAAGCCATTTTTTGCTTAACAGGGTGGCATGACTTAGCATTAGTTGGTAAACAAACTGCAAAGGGTTTACGGTACACAATCAATTTCATTGCAGATTATAAGAATGTCAAGATTCTCCAGAAATTCAATTTTCAAGTCAGTTTCTCCCCTATCAATAAAATTCGCAGTTCGATTCTAAAAGATT